GCTTTATTTGGATGCTCAATATTTGGTTTTGTGTGATCAAAATCTTCTCAAAATTTTGGATGCTTTTCTTCGCATCACTTGTAATTACATGTATGGTGAGTCCCTCCTCAGTACTGCTATTTGTATGGTCACTATTATGTAAGTAAACATGCAAAATAAAAGTTTCTATATCATGAAAAGAATAATTCTTATTAACATGATGTGTCTTGTACGACATTGTATTACATAACTCAGTATGTTTTACAAACTTTAGAGAAAACAGTTTCTCCATGCATATATTTACACAGCAGCTGACGTGCCTGTTGTTACTCTGATTATGTTAGCAGCACACCTCAGATCTCTCTTTCATGCACTCATATCCATTGTAGACAAGAGGAAAATAGCTGATTCTCCTCTTACTTGTTCAGTTCACTCAGGAGTGACAGATACTAGTTTGTGGTGAATTGCATTTTGAGAAAAGACAGAACTTAAATAAGGGAAGGAAAACAACATGCATCTTATCATCCTGCCTGGCAAGACTCTAATGTCCCCTACTTCCAAATTTTTATCAATAAACATAAGAGCTATTTGACTGTCTGTTTTACAGTTATTCCCACTTTTTTATTGTCTTTGGAAAGGAACAGGATGCTAGCCGGATTTCAGGAAGCTCTGCTTTTCAAGGAACTGCATTTCCCTAGTTAATGGCAGGTCACGCAGTCGGGACCCGGCCTCCTCCTCCTGTGTAGGGCCACAGCCTGTGTTTTCAAACGCTCTCTCACTCCCTGACCAACAAGACCTGCCCTGCATGGGGAATTGTAGAACAGCACCTGCTCCACACAGAATACAAATTATTCTTTTGTTTTTGCAAACCGAAGGGAAAGCATGTGTTTGAGCATTTCTATCTGAAATGCATGTTGTGATCTTATAACATTGGTTCAGGGTGGCTTGGAGATATGGTGGAGGCTGTCAGTGGAAAGAGGAAACTGTGCTTCAATCTGCCTACTATTACTCAGTCTTCTGCTTATCTGCAAAAGTGGACGTGGTTTGCTCCAGCAGACTAAGGGCACGGCATGACCTCCCAAGAGTCATTTATTGGCTCTCTGAGGCTATGGTGCTGTGGGCGACGGGGAGCCCGCCGGGGAGTCTCGGCCAGCGAGAGGGTCCCAGCCTGGAAGAGGGGGTATGCAGAAATAAAGAGAGACAGAAAGATGGGGTCTGGAGGACTGAATAGGCAATGCCTATGCAGCAAGTTTATTTGTGTCCAGGGTTCCAATATATACCTTTAGATTATAAGGATTGATGTCAGCGCACATTATGTAAGCTATACAATAAGGGGAACAGAAAGTTGCAAAAATCACAGAAAGTTGCAAAAAGCAAATGTCAGCAGAGGGGGTACATAATCACGGGTCATAAAAGGTAAGCAGGTAATGTACTTTATCATTGTTAACAGAACATGTGGTCACAAGGATAACAATCTAGAAATGTCACAGGCTAAGCCATAAATCTTTATCTGAGTATAGGAATATCATCTGGTCCTCAAAAGGCTATACTTAACTTGGTAAACAGAGTCATAAAACCCACTCCTCAGCAGGAACCGAAAGAGCACACACATCCATTACCCAGGGTCACTGTAGTCAGAAATAGAGGCTGACATTATTCTTATTCTTTCCGTTCCTACTTCCCCATAGCTCGACTGCCTACAGCAGGAAACTGTGTCCGGGATCAAGCTCATGCACAGTGAGGCCCAACACTGGGGGGGCTTCACACGGCGGCGTTCCCCACATGGTGCCGCCCCCGCCCCCCGAAACACCCTCTGGAGTTGGGCCAAACACTTTCCGACAATGTTCTTGTTTAATAAGTCCTTAAGTTGTTTCTTCTTCCTTCCACTTTTTCTTTTTTCTGTATCATTCCTGATGTCCCTGATAGCTGTGGTTTAAAGTGTCACCTGATCATTTATTGTCTCTCTGGTTGGTTCTGAAACCCCCATTAGCTTGTTCCTAAGTAAACCTGCTTACCACTCTCCATGGAAAGATGGCCGTCCAGCCAAGAGCTTGCCATTGTTTTTCTAAAGCAGAAAATCAAATCCTATTGAATATTGCTAGCATTTAACTGATTGTTTTTTTTTTTTTTTCTTTTTTTCAAACACTATTTTTCAGTATAGTGTAATGCAGTGGTCCCCAAACTTTTTGGCACCAAGGACGAGTTTCACGGAAGATAAGTTTTCTATCAACTTGGTTTGGGGTTAGAGGGGATGGTTTTGGGATAAAAGTGTTCCGCCTCAGATCATCAGCCGTTAGATTATTGTAAGACATGCACAACTTAGATCCCTCGCATGCACAGTTCTCAGTAGGGTTCCAGCTCCTATGGGAATTTAATGCTGCTGCTTATCTGACAGGAGGCAGAGCTCAGGAGGTAACACTCGTTTGCCTACTGCTCACCTGCTGCTGTGTGGCCTGACCCCTAACAGGCCATAGACTGGTACTGGTCCATGTCCTGGGAGTTGGTTACCCCTGGTCTAATGGATTCAGGACTTTCCATCCCCTCTCCCATTGCTAGTTATGTGAATTTGGACAAGCTATTAAATCCCTGGGGTTTAGTATCCTCATCTATGAAATGGGAAGAATAGCACAGCACCTATTATATGCCCATTGAACTCACATTTTGTGAGTTCAATGGGCATATAAAGCACCAAGCGCAGATCTTGGCATAATAATTCGCATTCTACAGATCGCAGGTGTTTTTATTACAAACTCAACCTGAAGCTGGAAACCATGAAAGATCTTTTTTTTTTTCTTTGTATTTTCTTTTTTTCCTGCTCAGGACTCCTGAGAAACTGGAGCTATTTAGTATGTAGTTTGCATGCCATTTGTCCCCAAGTTAATAGCAGAAGTGGGTAGTAGTGGGTGTGTTTGGTAAATCTTGGTGGACTCTGCCTCATAACTCATACCTCATACCTCATACACAGGTGCTGGTAACCTAAGTCCCAGGCTAGACACACCTGGACCCTTACGCCTTCTGTCTTTGATTTCCCATTTTAGGTAGGGTTTCTTGTTGCTGTTTTTGCTGCTGTTGTTTGTTTTTAGTATAATTCTCAAACTCTATTTTTGCTTAGCCAGGGTGCAGGACCCATTCCAAGATAATTTAGCGTGGTCTTTAGAATTAGACATGCCAGTGATTATTTTCTTTAGATATGGTTTTGGAATTGCTCCGTAGCTTTGCTTTTAGGGTCTGCTTCATGAAATCATTCTTTAACCACCGCTTCAATATTTTCCTTACGTTCCAAAAACACAAGTTACGAATATGTAATCTGCTGTTTTTGTGAGCATCCCTCCAGGATATTAAAGCGTATTATTACAGTAAAGATAGCTAACTTCCATCTTTTACAATGTTTTGCAATTCAAGTTTTTTTAATAGTCATTTAGGGTGAAAGCAATAGTGACTTGAGAATATGTTTGACAGTTTATAAATTAAAATCAGTTCTTTTCAAAACCTCAGTATATTACTTGATATACTTCATTGACTTAACAATGAATGGTACTGAAGAGAAACTATCATACATAAACCATTTAGAGAATATGGTACATTTTTAAAATGTAAAGTTGGATTAAATTAAAATATTTTGTGAAAATATTGAATATAGGTATTGATTGAAAATTGGCAATAGTCTCCCTAGACAGAATAGCAGAGTGGTCAGTGCCAACCCTGTGTGAATGTCTGAAGTCTGCATTTCAGACCTTAGGTGATTTTGTTTGTGTGTCTTACTCTTAACATTAATGGCTTATCTTGTGGCCAGATTTTTAGTTGTCCTGCCAATGACATGTTATTATTGCAATGCAATTGGATCTGCAAAAGCATAAGGCCAATCGAATTGCCCTAGCAAACTAACTGTCCCTAGAAATGTATCTTTGTGAATATACTTGTTGTCTGTATCTTTCCATTAATTTTGAACACCAAAGGTTACTGCCATAATTATCCTAATTTGCACCATAAAATTCAGATACTTGCTGATCGAATGAATAGCATTAAGAAATAGAGAAATGAGTAAGAATAAAACCTTGTGATTAGAGTTTTAAAAGCAAATATTAGGGAGTATGTGTATCTGAAAGTGTACCATCTTTATTGTCACTGGTTTCAAACAGGAAGTTAGGAAAAATTTCAAATGCAATGTAATTTGTTATTATGCTAAAACTCCAAATGTAATATAATTCGGTTGATGATGTATATTTCCTAAATTCCTAATGAGCTTGGTGATTAAAGGCTTTGCCATAATTTTGTCATTTCTGAATCCCAATTTTAAAGCTAACTGTGAAACCAGAAAACTACAAAGCAATGTCTCTATCCCAATACTCTTCCTTCCTCTAAATAGATTCCCCAGCAACCCAGAAATAAGAAAATAAGAGTTGTTTTTCACCATTACATGGTCACCATAGTAACAGGAACTGCTAAAGCTAATTCCAGACACATCTTACAGTTTTGGTTTTTATTTTCATTCCAAGCAATGAAAAACAGTTTTAAAGTCCTTAGTAAAAGCACATAAATTATGTCAAAGTCACAGGAATGTAAGTTAAGTCAAATAATTTTGTTGTCTTATACACATATAGGACTACAGATTCCTATATTCTGAATCACATTTCATTTTTTAAACATATTTTCTACCTCTCTTTCTGAAGGTTATGTAAGAATTTGCAAATAAAATAATACATATTGCTCGAAAATGTACTGCAAATCTTTGGTGTCAATTTCTGATTGTATTAACGTCATATTAACTTGAGTCCTAATCAGCTCAGGATGCTTGAGTGTGCAGTCACACCAGTGACTTCCCATTATTAAGAATCTGTGTATGACACTGAGTCTCCCAACAGTGTAGCTCATCAAGCTGCTCACAGGGCCTCCGGGTTGTCCTATAGGAACCAGGTGTTATCTAAACAAAACCACATCTCTTTGGATGAAATACTGAGCACTCAAGACCAAAAAGGAGTGACATGATGTTGAGATTATTTCCTCTTTTCTGTTGTTTCCAGAACCAAACTTTGTTTCATCTTATGACATTGGAAATTTTACCTACTTCTTTTTCCGAGAAAATGCCGTAGAGCATGACTGTGGGAAAACAGTGTTCTCCAGAGCTGCCCGGGTCTGCAAGAACGATATTGGAGGGCGCTTCTTGCTGGAGGATACCTGGACCACGTTCATGAAGGCTCGCCTCAACTGCTCCCGTCCTGGGGAAGTCCCCTTTTACTACAACGAATTGCAGAGCACTTTCTTCCTGCCTGAGCTGGATTTGATCTACGGCATCTTTACCACCAATGTGTATGTAACTTGAAATAATTTCTCTCCCTTCTCTCTTACTCATTCTGAATAAGTCTTTTGTTCTTTGACCTCTGAGGTTTTAAAGTTGCTTTAAAGAAAATCTTTCTTATTTTACTGGACTAACAGACAAAACAAAAGGACTTTTCAGTGACTTCCTGTTAGACAAAAGATATGTGATTTGAAAGACTGGCATTAGGAAACATAAAGCAAATCAAGAAAGTTTTTATCTATCTTTAGGATACAGTGACATCAAATTACTTCATTATAAATTGCTCCTTCCTGATTTGCCACTGTATTCTGGGTACTTTCTGAAATACTGGTACATATTGTATGTATATTTTTTCTGTATGGAAGTCATGCATTTGTATGTAATGAAAATAGTGTTGTCTGCAGTCTGAAATCCCTTAGATAACATGATTCTTGCTTGAACCTTGCTCATATTTGAAACACACATTTTCTATAGCTGTATTTTACACTATTAGTCTAGAAGATGGCTAACTTGAGCACACATTTTGTAAATGTCAGTTGTATTTTTAAATAAGTTTGGAAAAATTATAGTATTTTTTGGTTAGGGGTGGGATGGGGAGACACTCCTAACTTTAGAATGATCATTATTTTGGCTGGTTTAAGCTTATGAGGTTTTCTGATCTCTGTCACTCTTAGTCTAGTGGAGTATCATATGTCCCCAGGGTTATTTCCCATCCTTAGCTGGTATGCTGATGTGAGACTCAACAGGAGCACATGTGAAACCCAGGAGTCAAGGATCACATTGAGACTCTGAGCACCACCTTCCTGCACATGGCTGGCCTGCTGCGGATTCTACACTATGGGTTCTGATTTGGATTACCTTTGAAATCTCATTTGGTGACTTAGGACTTTTAGCAAAAGCCAAATATTTGTATCCAAAGTAAAAGATACAGATCGGGATGGGTTGGAAGTGCTGATAAATGAGGTAGGATGACCAACGGTCCTGAATTGCCTGAGATTATCCCAGTTTTAGTGTTGATGACAGCCCTGTAGCTAAGGAAACCTCTTGTTCCTGGGTGAGCCAGGACAACTTGTTACCCTGCCTTGTCTTCTCTGCTTCCTTCGTATTTTAATTTACTTTTTCATCTCTTGGGCATCAGATGCCTGCCCATGAATGGCATTTCTAAAAAGCCACTTTACCTGCCTCTTATTTGCATATTAGCCTTCTCTTCCTGCTCTCTCCACTGCTGAAATTGTGTTAATATTTGCTTAATAACAACTTTTAACCCCAAAGAGTCTTCTTTCTGACATGAGGTTAGAAAAATTAGGCTAGTATGGATGGCTCCACACCTACCCTTACTCCGCCGTGGCCATCTTTATTTTCATAAATCTGGTCCTCAACCCAGAGGTTGTTTTTCCTCTTTGATAAATTTCTTTAAAAAATCAATTGCAGTTTCTAAAGTTGATTTGCTTTCCAAAATCTTATTTAAAAACTAGTGTAGTCCGCAGAAGATAAATGTGCAGTTGCTCAGTTGACATTACTTTTATGCACAAGGGGAGTCTTGCTTACTTAGCTGTTCATTCCCCTGACTCGGGGCAAAACAAAACAAAAGAGCAATTTCAGAAGTTATAAAAGTACCATGCCTGAAACATTCCAAGATGGTGCATGGTCAATTTAGATAGTTGCAAAAATAAGTTTCAGCTATTTCAGACTATTTGTTTAGTGCTGCAAATTCCCATCATGTCAGAAGTCACCTGTACTGGTAGAGAGAAGCACCACATCTGTCCTTTCTCTCTGGAATACTTGCTTGCGTTCAGTCTTGGGAATGCATTTCTAATATACCCATCTCAAATTTCACAATATTTTCCACCTCCTTTTCATGTATCAGTCTTTATTTTATGTTCTCAAAAAATAACCACATTCTTGACAAAGTTTGCTTCAAATGGAAAGAAAGTGAGGATCGGAGGTTGTCAGTTACTGTCTACCTCTGAATTAAAAGGCTGTCCAATACTGGGCTGAGCTTCGGGGCTCAGAATGTTGCTTTGCCTCAGTGCATTCATCAAGGTTTCCCAGCACTAGGGGAAGGGGGAAAAGGTAACTGTTCTGACTCTTTCTGTCCCTAGAACTACTGTGTAGTTTTCTCAATCTCTTGAGCATGGTTTGGCCTGCAGGAAATGGTGTGCTGCTACAATGGAGTCTCTAAAGATATGGCTTCTTTTCTAGATACCTAAAAATGGTGGCTACCATTAGTTGTTTATAGGATAGATAGTAAACTGTAGAGATCATAGTAAAGTATTAATATGTATAGATATGGATATACAGGTAGTAGGGTTGCAGTGGGAGGTGGGACTTTTTATTGCTCTTTGAAATTATTACCTTGATTGCTGATAGAAGCCAGGTTGGAACAGGTGGCTGCAGGTCTGGTGTCTAAGTGAGCTTGTTCATGCTGATTCCAGCTTTAAGCTTACTCATTCTCAAGGTCATGATCTATACCTGGGTTGGTTTCACCTGCCCACGAGTCTGGAGACCCTGGAGAAGTGAGTGAATATGTACTTCCTGTAGGCAGTTCCATCGTAGGAAGCGGGAAGGGCATGGTGGAGCCACACAAGCCCACTCTCTGCCCCAGAGCGCAGCCAGTGAAAGGGTGGAGGGGCAGCCATGGGTTGTGCTTGTACTATACCAATTGTGCTCACTAGGGGATGGGACAGGGACGAGAGGAATGGTTCCCACAACACTGTTAAAGGATCGTCAGACTGGCAGCTACTGGGACATCCAGGGGAGTCTCTGGGTGACACCAGAGCCCAGATCAGACCATTCAGAGCAGGGTGTAGTGAACAGAGGAAGATTAAGCCAGCAGGAAGAAGATTAGGTTCTTCCTTTGCCTGGTAGCCACCTGGCAACCTGGGGCCTCATGCAAATCAGGTACAAATCCTGCTTTATTTCCCTGCATCCTGTAACTTGGTCTAAGTAAACTCTCTGTGCTGCTGTTTTCTTATTGTAAGTCAGGGTCTTCTAAGGATCTATAGGTTCTCTATGAGAAATTAAGGTGCTTAGCAGGGGGCTCAGGGAGATATTGTTATTATTCTTAATATCCCCCATTTGCCTGCCTCTGTACCTGGCCCAAGGCATGCCTCTCTGGCTGCTGGATGGGACCGTCCTGTGTCTAGCCACTCTTACTCCAGCGTATTTGTTTTCTTGTTCTTACTAAAGTCTACTCACATGTTCAAAGGCCAGCTCTTCCCTGAACTGTGTTTTAACTTCTCCCATTCTCTCTAAGGATAATAGAGCAAAGTGAATAAACCCATAGCCGGTGTCTACCCCTTTGCTTTCCAGAACGGGGTCCTTTATGCATTATGATGGTCCTTGTCCTTGGTGCTGGGCTTCTGGAGAAAATGCATCTCTACCCTCAAGGCCATACCTTTCCATAAGGATGTGTTTACTCTCTGCTCCCCTGCAGTAGAATCCTGTCTGCTTTACCCAGAGATATTGCAAAGGATTGAAAATACTGGCATTTGGAGTTAGCCTGGGGTTCAACTCCAGCTTCCCCATTTAGCAGCTGGCTAACTTTGAGGAAGGGTCTTGTCTTCACTGTGCCTTGTTTTTCTTACCTGTAAATTTCCTTCACCTTTTGAGGATTAGATGAATTGGAATTAGTGAAGTCCTCGGAATAGTGCCTAGCTCCTATTCAGTATTTATTAAATAAAACAAATCTAAGGTAAGTCTTTCAGGTTTGGATTTTGTTATACTTTTCCTTTGATGCAGGAAAAAAAATAATTGATGAGAAATGCGTGTGATATTGTCTCAGGGCAAGGGAAAATACATGTAAGCTTGCTTTCTTTATCTCCTCTTCCCCTTTGAGAACCCATACAGAGCTCAAAATGCAGATGTACTTAACCAAAATAATGTTGCTCTTTCCATACTTAGTCAGAGGGCACTGACCTTCTGAGGGCTCCCGTTTAAGACTCTTTCAAAGCCTGAATTCTAAATTATGGCTTCAGGATTTCACATGTCAGTGCTATGTCAAAGTTTTCTCTTTGACCCTTTGAATTTAAACTCCATTTTAAATTAAAAGAAAATACAATCAGACAGTGACTTTTTTTTTTTTTTTGAGACGGAGTTTCGCTCTTGTTACCCAGGCTGGAGTGCAATGCCGCACTCACATGTGAGTGCAATGTCTCGGCTCAGCGCAACCTCTGCCTCCTGGGTTCAGACAGTTCTCCTGCCTCAGCCTCCTGAGTAGCTGGGATTACAGGCATGCACCACCACGCCCAGCTAATTTTTTTGTTTTTTTTAGTAGAGACGGGGTTTCACCATGTTGACCAGGATGGTCTCGGTCTTTTGACTTCGTGATCCACCCGCCTCGGGACAGTGACTTTTTATAAACTACTTTGAGTTAATTTTTTTTTAAAGGATGGCAAATAAATATCTTGGTTAAAACACACACACACGTACACATACACGCCAAAACAAAACAACTTGCCCTGCTACCAGGCAAAGTGACAAGATGAGCAAGTCAGGAAGGGAGCTGCATAAGGCTGATGAGAGATGCCATCCACTGGAGAAGGACGTCTTTTTCTTCTAGAATTTGAAAGGTGAAGCAGATAGCTCTTCAGAATCCCTCTTGCCGCTTTTGCAGCTGAGTGAATTAATCCTGGCTGGCAGGATTAAGTGTGGTAAATGCTAACTAACCTGGTTTCTTTACCAAGATGTTTGCTCCTCTGCAGGGGAGCAGCGTTCACACTCTAACTTAAATCCTTTGGGATGTTTAAGAGACTGTGGCCCTGAGACCTCTGGAAACTGATCCAGGTCACAGCTGCTGCCTGCTTCCTAGGGGGAGGGCAGCAGGTGCTTCCGAGCTCTCTGACTGCCTTCTCCTCTCTCTCCCTGGGCTCCCAGGAACAGCATCGCGGCCTCAGCTGTGTGTGTCTTCAACCTGAGCGCCATTGCACAGGCCTTCGCTGGGCCCTTCAAGTACCAGGAAAACTCACGCTCCGCCTGGCTACCGTATCCCAACCCAAACCCCAACTTCCAGGTAATTCTCGGGGGGCAAAGGGCACTGTTGGCATCCCCATGAAGAATGCAGAAGCCTTGTGTAGACAGGCAGGGGTGATTTAAAACGCGAGTGCATGCATCATGCAGCAGCTGTCTCCCTGGCCCCTCATGGACAGCCCCATACTCGGCTGGCTAATGTCAATAGACCCGGGCCCTTTGTGAATTGTGGCGCCGGGACCCAAAAAGGCCTTTTGTCAGCTGTGATGCCTGGGACTGAGCTGAAAAAGACCAGCATTCTGCTGCAGGTTAGGAATCCAGGCTTCAATTAGTACTAATGATGCTGGGCTCTGTGTCCTCAGAACCTCTGATCCCTAATGAATGACATTCTAATGAATGGGGTCCAGGGCACAGAGCAGTGGAGACACACAAACAGGGTTAGAGCGCTAATTGGCAAACGTGGTGGGATTCCCTGTTGGGAAGGACAGAATGCCATGCAGACAGCTGGGGAAAGAAGAGGAGGTGGAGGCCCTTCATGTCTTATCACAAAATTGCAGGAGGTTCACGCTTTCAGAGCTTTCCGAGTCATCCATCTCCCCGTGTCCGAAGAAGCTGAGACCCAAAGAGATGAGGCAATTTACTGATATTTGGTGAGTTGGCAGGTATATTTGTCCGCTTGGACTGCTGTAACAAAACACCGCAGACTGGGTAGCTTAAAAAAGAGACATTTATTTTCTTACAGTTTTAGAAGCTAGACGTTCAAGACCAAATTGTGAACAGGGTCATCTTCAGGTGAGGGCTCCCTCTTCCTGGCTTGCAGATGGACATCTTGCTGCATCCTCACGTGGCGGAGAGAGAGACATCTCTGGGGTATCTCTTTCTGTTTTGTGAGGGCACCAGCTCCACTGGGCCAGGGCCTCACCCTTGTGACGTCACTTACCCTCATTTACTACCATAGAGACTCCATCTCCATATATGGCCACACTGGATGTTAGGAATTTGGGTAGTTCACAGACACTGAGCCCACAGCAGCGGGCATCCCTGGAGGGCTTTCTGACTACTTTCTTAGGACCATCATCATCATCGTAGCTGTAAATTTTAGCAAGTCCCAGACACGGTGCTAGAGGCTTCAGATATATCAGCTCACACACCAGCGGCAGTGCTGTGGTGGGTAATGCCTTCTCCATGTGCAGGGTAAAACACTGGGCCTGGGGCAGGTCACCTGGCCAGAGCCACACAGCTGATCAGTAGCAAGTGAGGATCCAAACTTCAATTCTCAGATGCAAAACCCCAGCCCATTCCAACTACATGGGCGTTAGTTAACTATTACTAATCAGTAGTAGAAGTGGGTCCTGTACCTAGGACTCCCCTAAAATGGGAGTGTGGAAAGGTTCAACTATTTTACACTTTACTTCGATTTTTGCAAGGACCATTCAATTCTGGTTGTTTTGAAAGAGTTTTGTGTTTGTTGCTATCTTTTTTAGGAGGGGGTTAAAAACACTTGTTTTTTTTATTGTACTTTACGTTCTGGGGTACATGTGCAGATCATGCAGGGTTGTTGCATAGGTACATACATGGCAAGGTGGTTTGCTGCCTGCATTCCCCATCACCTGTATTTGGCATTTCTCCCCACGTTATCCCTCCTCACCCTCGCCACCCCCTGCTGTTACTCCCTTAGCTCCCCCACAACTGACCCCAGAGTGTGAAGCTCCCCTCCCTGTGTCCACGTGCTCTCATTGTTCAACACCCACCTGTTGCTGTCTTTAAACTTTTGAAGGAGTGTGGGATTAAAAATAAGATGGCTGGCTTACATGCCGTCTTTCCGTGCACTGCTTTCCTTGAACAAATTGTGTGCGTTTTTATCACACATCTATCTACTGCGCATCTTTATTGTATATTTTCATCAAAATGGAGAGAGGGATAAAAATGCACGGAAATAGTTTAGGAGTAAATTTTGATAACCCTAATTAATGTGCATTATTTACTGTATAAAATATTTGATAAATATAATTCTCGGAGACTGAACACAGAGGCTCATGCCTATAATCACAGTGCTTTGTGAAGCCAAAGCAAGAGGATCTCCTGAAGTCAGGATTTCGAGACAAGCCTGGGCAACATAATGAAACCCTGTGTCTACAAAAATAATAGTAATAAATTAACCAGGCATGGTGGCAAGCAGTTCTAGTCCTAGCTATCTGAGAGGCTGAGCTGGAGGATTGCTTGAGCTCAGGAGTTCAATCAGGAAGCTGTAATCCATCCACTGCACTCCAGTCTGGGTGACAGAGTAAGACTCTGTCTCTAAAAATGCAAAGAAGAATGACTCTTAGGATCATTTATTTGGTGACTTCTATGTGTCCCGTGTTGTATAAATGCATATTTTGTCTAAGTTTCTCCTCTAACATACAGGAAATACTCCTTTTAAGAAAGTCCTTTGTATAATAAAATCCTGAAGATTAAATAATTAATAATGCTTACTGTATTTATAATGCATTTTCAATGCGTTGATTTTTTTTCCTGCATAAGTCTTTACAGTGTTCTCACTCATAGGCGGGTGTTGAACAATGAGAACACATGGACACAGGGAGGGGAACACTACACACTGCGGTCTGTTGGGGGGAAATAGGGGAGGGACGGTAAGGGGTGGGGAGCTGGGGAGAGATAGCAAGGGGAGAGATGCCAGATGTAGGTGATGGGGAGGAAGGCAGCACATCACACTGCCACGTGTGTACCTATGCAACAATCTTACATATTCTTCATATGTACCCCAAAACCTAAAATGCAATAAAATAAATTAAAAAAGAAAAAAGAAAAAAAAAAGTCTTTACAGTGAACAGGGTGACTCAGTAAACTTCGTAGTCCATTACCACCTCCAGGCTGTGGGTAACTTGTAGCCCATTTATCTGAATACATTTAGAGCACACAGCATTTTCTAAGGCCAGAAGCGTGTGTTTTTATAATGTCAGTGTCACACTGAAGGACTTACTTTCATTATGGGATGGAAGCCAGTCTATGCTGCATAACGAATGAAGCATGCAGAAATTGGCATGTGTTTCAGGCAGGAAGCTTGCATTGCTGAGCTTCTCTTCTCTGAGTATTATTTAAAACTCTAAAGGGAGCTCAACCTACAGATTATGGTGATTCTTTGTTTAACTCCTAGTACATGTATGTACTAAGTATTTTTTTTTTATGTTACTCTATTTGGTAACTATACTGGCAAAGTTTCCTCACTGACATTCATGAAACCATCTAGCCTGGCATAGATGGGGAGTGGGAATTCAAGTTCGACGTAAGGATCCCTCTCCAGACATGTGTAAGAGGCCTTATGTTTGAGTAACCAACAACAGAAAGTGGTTAGATTTTTAGAACTCTTGTTTTTTCTACTGACATTTAAATTTTGTGCAGTACTTATGTAACCTATGTACTAGAAGTAGCTAATTAATCAGAGAAGCAGAAAGCAGATTCCGGTTCAGGAAGAAGATGGGTTAGGAGAGATGTTGCATAATATTTCAACATTTAATATAGAAATGTCAAATAAAAACAGTAGCAAAACAGCAAAAAGTATTATTTTTCTCAGACAAAATACATAAACCACTCTAGGTGGCGCTTCTGAGCCCCGCCCTGCTAGAGGCTGCAGTCCTCAAAGTCATCCAGACCTTGGCATTCAGTAAGACACGTGGCAGTCGCTGGTGTAAAACATCACCCAGACCCAGTGGTACAGCTGCACTGTGACAGACTCCAGAATTTTCTGTGCAGCTCTGATTACTGTCACTCAGAAAGGATGGAGTTGAAATGAACAAAGAGAGCCTCAAATGTAGTTAAGTAGATGAGGAGGCAGTTGTTGGAGGAGCAAGTGCAGAGATCTGACTCTGTCCATTAGGACGTGGAAAGCATTTTTTGAGACAGAGTCTCACTGTGTTGCTCTGGCTGGAGTGCAGTTGCGTGATCTCAGCTCACTGCAACCTCCGCCTGCCCGGTTCAAGCAATTCTATGCCTCAGCCTCCTGAATAGCTGGGATTACAGGTGCCCACCACCATGCCTGGCTAATTTTTATATTTTTCGTAAAGACAGGATTTCACCATGTTGGCCAGGCTGGTCTTGAACTCGTGATCTCATGATCCACCTGCCTCAGCCTCCCAAAGTGCTGGGATTACAGGCTTGAGCCACCATGCTTGGCCCACAAAGCATGTTTGCAGCAAGGTAGAAGTCAGTAAGAGAATGAAGGGGCCATTAAAATTGGGCACTCCTGCAGGAGATTAGGTGATTGTGGGCTTGGCCACCATGCACTAGCGTGCTAGGACAAGAATGGATTCATTGTCTGCGAAACAAGTAAACCAAAGTGCAAGTATTTATTATTAAAAAAAAACAGTAGAATTACCGACCATGTGACTTGAAGAGATGTTGGCATGACGACTGTTGTGGATTGTAGGGCACGTGACAGCAATGGCTGTGCTTTTACTATTTTTGTTGTTTTCTTCTTGCATGGTGAATCCAGGGTGTCACACAGTGCCCCACACAGACACAGCGGGAGTCCAGCATATAAGGCAAAGCTAAAAAATTTTCAGACATTAGAGAGCTAGGTGGATTGCTTATGATCCAATATGTATATTCTGTAACTCTGAGTACTTTAACAACTATTTGAAAGAGAAGCACTGGGTGGAATATTCACTATAATAGGCCAGCAAAAGAAACCAAGAAGTAGTAGAGTATACCACAAAACCAAGTCTTGGCAATTCTGGCAGATGACTTAAATGAGACTGAGAGATAGGCGAGATGACAAGGCATGGCGGCGAGTGATCCTGCCTCACCCCCGCCACTGAGATCTCCCTGTTAGGTCTCCAATTTCTCGGGGTTCCTTAAGAACAGCAAGAGATTCTCATTTTTATATTGTGCCTCCTGGTTTTCATGATACCAGTTTTTTGTTGTTGTTGTTTGTTTTCTGAACACTGTGCTTACAAAACCTGTGTGCAAACTTCACCCAGTAAGTAGGTAGCGAACTGCCACTGTGCTTTAGGTATCATCACTGATTTCAGGAATGTAAACCACCAAACATAACGTCATGCTCAGAACTAGAACTCACCTGTGTAGACAGTAGATCAAGCCTAGTGGAGCTCTTTTTTATTTTTAAAAACATGTATTGATAGACAGCGACACATCCCTGACCTCCCCGTGTTACTATTTCATGCTGTAATTAGATAAAATACCCTAGCACATCCCCTCACCCTCAATAACAGCTGCTTGTGTATTCACTCATTGATTCCTTCCCTTCTTTATTTATTCACTCATTTCCTTCTGGCCACTAAAGCTCAACAGGCCATGGAATTGCAGTCCTGCTCCAAGACCAATGCATTTGCCATTTACCGTTAGTTGAATGGCTTCTCTTTAGTGCCAGGCACGTTGTCTTGTTCTTTGGCACTCATAAGGACTTTCAATTAATTTATAAGTGCTTTCCACAGATTATCTCAGCTGGCCTCACAGTAGGCCTGAGAAATGAGCAGAGTCAGTATTTTCCCAGTCACTGGACAGGTAAAGAGACAGAAACTGAGAGGTGAGACCTCACCTGAGACCACGTGGGAGGACAGTTGTCACTCACGATTCCATGTGGCTTGAGTTACGGAGCCAGAGTAGTACTTGGGCCATGGCAGGTCTGAGCCTTGCACCTGAACTCACACAGTCCTTGCCTGTGGAACATGGGGCGGCCCTGCAAGGGTGTGATACTAAATGAAGCATTGGACTGGATGCATGAAATCCATTTGACTCTCAGAGTCTCTTTTTCTGCAATCATCCTATTATTTCATGGCATGTGGATCATTTTATCAAATGCTACAAAATCATCATCTACTTTTAAAAAAGCGATTTTCATCTTACACCTCTGCACCTCTCACCTGTTATAAAGCCAAACATTAGACATGACATGTTATAAACCATAGTTTCAGGTGATAAAGGCCTGGAAATTCATTTCCATCAAACCTACTTATGTGAAGTTCTACTGGGGATCAGTCACCATTTGTACCGGGAATTAAAGTTTATGAAAGATGTGAGAAGGGTTGGTAGTTTTCTGATTCTGAGCTTGCTTTCCTTTCTATCCCTCTTTTTACCCCATCCTTGCCAGAAACAGTGTGATAACATGACACCCGCAGCCTCCCCATAGCACAGCTCGGAATTTAATTCCCAGCAGCGTGCGGACCTGATTTTCCCCTTGTGTATATATCCCAAATTCATCTCCATGATACTTACTCTATCTCAAAATCTCATTCTTTTCTTCTTCCTTCTTTATTCCTTTCTACTCTTCTTCTCCCCACTCATCTCCTTTCCTTCATTTCCCTTATCTCCTCATCTCTCTCTCTTCTTAGAAATTTGCCATGTTCTTTTCCATATTCCTGGACTCTAACCATTTTTAAATAATTTCATCTAATTTGAAATACAAGCACAAAGCAATAAGGCCGACACCATATTTTTGTATCCCATGTGAATGCTGTTCACCTTTACAGATTAGAATGACCCAATGCTATCACCTTGAAATCCATGTCTTGCTTATAGACCCCCTGCTACAGTAGAAAAACTAATGCATCTATATGAGGTCCTTAATTGTTGCATTTTCAATTTGCTACCTGATATCTCAGACAGATATCATAGTATGTGTTTAGCCAGGCAGCTGTCAAGTGACTCAACAGAAAAGGTGAAGTTTCTGTGCATCTGCAGCTTAAATTTAGCAATCGCTTTAATTTTTTTAGCTTCTGATCAGTTCATTTATGATGAGGTTAGGAGATTCCCAAGATATGAGTTCAAATCTAACATGAAAAGGATGCTAAGGATGGTGGCTGCAGGGAGAATAGAGAAGCAGACATATTTGCACACCAGTTATGCATTGTGGCTTACCTGATTTCCAAGTTGCTCTCCAGCTATGGTGGTCACAGCCAGCTGTGGGTGTCCAGGCTGGTGGCTCTGGTAACACGGCCTGTCTTCCCTTGCAGTGTGGCACCGTGGACCAGGGCCTGTACGTGAACCTGACCGAGAGAAACCTGCAGGATGCTCAGAAGTTCATTCTGATGCATGAGGTGGTGCAGCCAGTGACCACCATGCCGTCCTTCATGGAGGACAACAGCCGCTTTTCCCACGTGGCTGTCGACGTGGTGCAGGGCAGAGATGCGCTCGTCCACATCATCTATTTGGCCACAGGTAGGAGCTCTGCCCTCCTCTGAGGGGTTTTCTATCATCCTCTGATTTTGTGTTTTAGATTTAGGTTCTAAACATGCAATTTCAATTTCAAGCTTTACGTCTGCTGTCTCTTTGCGACCAGCAAAACCCACGATGCTAACTTCTTCCTCAGCTGCTGTGCATCGTTTGGGAAATTTCAATCGATTTTCACTCTATTAGTCATAACTTTATTTGGAAAGACAATGACTTCTTTACTATTATTTCTCAACTATTCATAAAATAAGTCTTTTTGGCAAGACCATTGGGATTTGGGTAATTTAAGACAGTGGTGTGCTTTGTTAGAGGACATTTCTGGGTGAAATGTTATCTTGGGATTGTCCTGGTGATTTCTCATTTGTGTAAAAACAGTGCCTTCAGCAAAATATTTGCGTGGATGGGAGTACATGGAAGTGTTCAAAGAATATGTTTTGAGGCATAAATAATGGAACATTCACAGCAAATGTAGGCAACGATACTTATCAAATTACAAATAACAATTAGACCTCTTCAGTTTCCAAAGCAACTAGAGTGTGGAAAGCATGTTTATCTCAGTTTATTACACAGACGGCTCCGGGTGTGTGAGGCGGGCTTAGAGACCTGGCTCAGCCCTGAGGACATGTCCCTCTCTCTGCTGCCTTCAGGTCCCCAGACAGAGCTGTCTCATGGTAGAGTCTGCCCCTCTCCATTCTTTGTCCAATGTTTTGTATAACTGTCATTTCTCATGGAGCATAATTGCTGTTTTTTGTTCCTGATAATAATATATTTTTTTTCTTGAAAGAACTTCTCAATTCCTAATTACATCTTTACCAGTTAGGGTTTCTTTTTTCCCATGAAGTTTCTACTATCTACTGAATCTTTACTATTTGTGGAGTTCATTTGAAGCACTGGGGAGTAAACTGGTGAACACACAGGCATCACCTGCTCTGTTGGGCTTTACATTCTAGTGGGCACAGCAGATAATAAATAGACCAGTCAGCAAGACGCCAGAGAGGTGATGGCGAGCAGACACAGCAGGTGCACAGAGAGCGCTATGGCCGCGGGTGGCAGGCAGGCTCCTGTATTTGCTGGCCAACATTGAACTCTGCCAGGAGATGAAGATTAAGCTGATCAGGGACTGAGCAGGAGGGGCTGGCCCTGTACCCATAAGGGAAACAACCAGTGAGCCAGATGTGGGACTGACCAGCTGCAGGCAGTGCCACTGTGTGGTCAGGAAAGGTAAGGACAGATGTGACCACTGGATGGCCAGGTGGAGAGCCACAGCTGCCTCTCAGGGTCAGTCTGTGGGAAGAGGAGGAAGTGGGCAGGAGGAAGAAGTCAGAAGAAGCTGGCAGAAGTCAGACAGTACCAGCTGCTTAGGGAATCTCCTCTGGAGCTTTTCAGGGAAGGGGAGTGGAGGATTGATGAGCTATCTGGAGGGTATGGGAGATTAAGGAAAGGGTTTTTCTTGCTTTTTGTTTTAAAAGAAGGAAAGGAATTACTATTGCATTGTCTTCTTGTTTATGAGACTGCAGACAGGATTGTTTCTCTTTATTCTGTCATTTATTTCCTTAATGTCCCCCAGGGTGCCTGAAATGGAATAGGTTTGTGGGATGAATGAACTGGACCTTTCTGTAAGTGTTCCTAGTTTTTCACCATAAATGTCCAGGCTGATGACACAGAGAACAGGGCCATCTTCTTCCAATTCTACGAGGACATTGAGGACTTCATTAGTACCTTGGGAGTGGGAGGGATTTTGACAGGGGCTGAGGCTATTCTTGAGTAGACCTCAGTGGGTCAGTGCAGAGCAGCCTGAGGTCTCAACTCGAGCCTTTGGACATGCTCCCCACATGAGGCTGAGTAGGTGACATTTGCTTCTCTTGTGTTTATAATGATCTATGGTGAACTTCTGAGGATTTCTGTTGAAACTTTCCTATTTTTACTTTGATGAGTGCCTTAGTCAGTGGCTATAACAATTTACCATAGACTGGTGACTTACACAACAGACATGTATTTCTCATGGTTCTGAAGGCTGGAAATCTAAGATCATGGTGGCTGATGACTCATTTCCTGGTGATGTTCCTGTTGCAGGTTTGCAGATGGCTGCCTGCTGGTTGTGTCCTCACGGAATGAAGAGCGATCTTCTCTCCTATGTCTCTTCTTATAAGGGCACTCGTACCATTCATAAGGGCTCCATCCTCATGACCTAATCACCTCCCCAAAGCCCTGCCTCCTAATTACATTTCATGGGGAATTAGAACTTCAACATATGAATCTTGGGGGGAAAAAAACATTCAGTCCATAGCTACAAGTAACTTCTTCTACCACTATTTAAAACCATTATTTAAAAGTTTCTAGAAACTCGCTTGCAGAAGTCTGTTTTGAATAAGAGCATAACTGGACTGCTGCTCCCAACCCCCTCACCCCCACACTGAGCTAATGGTGAGATTAGCTCAGGACTCAGCTGCTACAGGGATTCCAGACCATCTGACCCTGTCTGATCTGCAGATCTGATTGCGATAGTGATACACCACATGCCATTTGGCAAATACATCTTGCAGAGATTCGCTTTATTGTTCCATAAACCTGATTTTTGGCTTTTGTTTTAATATATTGCCTATGTACAAAGTGAATTGTGTTGTACATCAAGATATTGGTAATTTGAACCACAAGTTGGGATTATGGGTAAAGATACCTTATGCAGAACTCTTTGGAAGTTTCTGTCTCTCACTACTTGTGTTGTTTGTTAAACTCAAGAGGAGGAGGACTTCATAGTGGGTGAAGGTACTTTCCAGCAGAAACCTGGGGTCCTACAGAAACCCTGCTCCAAGTCATATGCAGTGACTCACGGTGGGTTCCAAAACAGGTCTACTGAAAGGTGCATTCCCAGGCCGCATTTCAGCTTGTTTAGACTGGCTTGACAATTTTAACTGAACAACCTCTATAAATTACAAATTTCATGTCTCAACTAACTTGTGGCTTTTTTCATTTACTCTTACAGTACTGTTTAATTAATATATTTTGAAGGAGATATATTCTTTTTTCAGATTTTAATTACGAATGATATTTAGCTTTAAGGGATTTTTTTAATGATCTAGCATACAGTCTTTATGTCTAAAACATTGTATACTGGAAGGTATAATAATATACATTTTAATTCAACCCTCTAAGAGCTGAACAACTCCCAACAAGTAGAAATGATAAAGGTTAGAGATTTTGACTTTTCAGATTCAAAAGGCTGATGTTTATCTGGTCCCTTACTTATGTCTAGCCGTAGTAGTTACATCAAAGCAAACCAGGGACATTCATCTCATTTGATATTAAAACTGATACTGAGGTGGGAGGGATAGAGAGAGATTGATTAACAGGTACAGATATAGACATAGCTAAAAGTGAGACCTGGTGTTCAATGGATCAGTATGGCGACTATAGTTAACATTAATTGATTGAACATTTGAAAATAGCTAGAATAGAATAATTCAGATATTCCTGGAGTAAAGAAAACATAAATATTTTAGGGAATGGATTTCTCTATTACTCTGATTTGATTATATTAATGTATCCAATTATTACATATACCTTGAAAATATATATATCTAATATGTTTCAATTTTTAAAAATTAGAAAGGTAAATCTAAAAAAGGAATCTGATATTGAGCACACATGCTAGAGATCTTTCAGTATGGCTGCACTTGATATACCTTATCCAGGAGTTAGATTATCAACTGATGGAACATGGGTAAAACATTCATAACTAGTGATTGTGAAGCTACAGTCCTTCCTAACTTATTCACAGAATCAGTTTGATATCCTTCCAGGCATGGGAATCCAGGTTTGGTGGTAGGTGTATTTTCTCTCGCTTTGATTTTGTATGAACACATGCAAACGGGAGGAAACCTGCCAATGGCTGTTTGAAAAGTCAGTTTGTTTTATTTGTCCATGTTGTCTGCAGATCCACGTAAGCTAGAGTCCTCTTGGTGGTGTAGTCCATCTGCATCTTGCCTCTTTGGTGGTGGTTCCCGCTGCTACCACCCTGCTGAGTCAGCAGCCTTCCCTAGATACATTCTGGGTCCATCCATGTTCATGCTACTACCTGTGCTTCTCCCGGTGTTCATACAGCTGGGACCAGGCATGTTATCTGAGATGTGACTGTGCTAATATTTTATAAGTTGGTTTTTGAAGATTTTCTCAGAGCCAGAGACAAGTGAAAGTGGTAACTCCTTTAGAATATTTATGACTGGAGTTCTGTAAGTGACTGAGTCTCCTATCCAAATAGCTGTTGAGTTCTCTAGAAAGACAAAATTAAGGTCATGTTGAGCAAAGGTATTCTGCGAGTTTCCCCCTTACTTGACGTGGAAATACGTCTCCTCTGGCTCTCCCCCACCTGTGTGATTGTCCCTTGGAGTCCCACATGCACTCCTGGTCCAAACATGTGGCTGCTGTTGTGGGATTTATCCACAGAATGGCCATGGTTGTTCTATTTCTATGCTCCCTCCCCAAAGGACCATTCAGTCTTAGGGTTTCTACTCTCCCTTCTAGGATGAGATATATCACTTTTATTTTCACTTTGCCTCAATTCTAGTGTTTTGAAAATTATTTGAACCTTAAATTGTATGTAACCTTAAAATGTTCTAAGCTTATATTGTGACAATAATTGCGTAACTCAGAATACGCTACACTAAAAATCAGTGGGTGAATTTTATGGCATGCAGTTTTTATCTCAATAAATATGCCTTTAAAAAAGAATGAGATCTCTCTTTTTGTCATTTTGTGTTATATTTTATAAATAGTTTTAGAGGATAATTTATAAACATTTGTATAAAAACACATATCAGATGCTAAAGAAATGTAAAGGAAGAAGGCACACCCACACATTGTGAATCATTGTTTTTCATTTTGAACTTTTGCATAGAAAAGTCAGGACAGCTAATAGATGATTATAAAATAGGAAGCAATCATACAGAGGCTTATATTGCTTCTAGGTGCTGAACTGATGGGAGCTTGTG